GAAGGCTGGTGAGCAGTGGGCACCCGATCAGGGCAGATGAAGCAACAGCATCAGACCCACAGGATGGGCAGCTGTTCAGCTCAGCAGAGAAACACACAGAGTCAGTTCTGTAAAGAGTGACTGATTACAGTACACAGTATTAACAGAGCAGCAGAGACTCCGGCAGGTCGAGCTGTTACAGCCTCACTAAAAGGGAGAGACAGAAAGGTAACAGAGACATGAGGCTCCTTCAGACGTCAGCGCCCCTCCACTCTACCATCAGCTAACCTGAGTGTGTGCGTGAGAGCAGCAGGACGACGGCACCAACACTCCCAGTTTACCATAATACTCTATGACCTTGAACCCCCAGATCTGCACCTTTTATCTAACAGGGAAAACTAATTACCAAAGTCACCACTAAATAAGTGAGTTTTTAGCCTAGACTTAAAGACTGAGGCTGTGTCTGAGTCCCGAACACTGACTGGAAGACTATTCCAAAGCTGGGGGGCTTTGTATGAGAAGGCTCCACCCCCTGATGTAACTTCTAGGTACTAATAGTAAGCCAGCACCTTGTGATCTAAGTAGGCATGATGGTTCACAGTATCAGAGAAGTTCACTCAGGTACTGAGGGGCTGTTTAGAGCTTTATATGTCAGTAAAAGAATTTTGTAATCAATATGAAATTTAACTGGCAACCAGTGCAGCTTTAATAAAACTGGGCTGATATGGTCAAACCGTCTAGTTCTTGTAGGCTGCAGGACTCTGGCTGCAGCGTTCTGGACTAAATGAACCTTGTTAAGGCTTTTGCGGGAACATCCAGACAGCAGGGCAGTACAGTACTCCAGCCTTGAGGTCATAAATGTGAACTAGCTTTTCTGCATCCTGTACAGACAGTGCATTTCTTAATTTAGCAATATTGTGAAGATGGAAGAAGGCTATTCTAGTACTACAGGATATATGTGCATCGAAGGACAGATCAGGATCGATCATGACGTCAATGTTTTGTACAGAAGTACCTGATACAACTGAGAAACTATTAAGTGTTAAATTAGTTTGTTTCTAGCAGCTTTTGGACCAAGAAATAGAACCTTTGTTTTGTCTGAGTTGAGTAGGAGAAAGTTACTCGACATACAGTCTTTTATGTCTTTTTATACAATCCTCAATCTTATTAAGTTGAAGTTTATCATCTGGTTTGGTCGATAAATACAATTGTGTGTCATCGCTGTAGCAGTGGAAATTGATGCTGTGTTTACTGATAATGGTACCCATAGATAATGTGAATAACAGAGGTCCTAAAACAGAGCCTTGCTGAACACCATACTGCACTTTTGTAAGAACAGATGATTCGCCATTTACATTTACAAACTGATAGCGATGAGTCAGGTAAGATCTAAACCAGGTGCCTGACTGTTTTTGGCCTGATTGTTTTAATGTATTACTGAAGAAATTCATAAAATTGTTGCTGCTGTAAGCTGATGGGATCTGGGGTTCCTTAGCTGTTTGGCTCTTAGTCAATTTAGAAATAGTGCAAAATAATAATATAGGATTATTCTTATTATTTTCAATGAGAGAGGAGAGATAGGTTGAGTGTGCTGTAGTAAGTGCTCTTCTAGTCTATAAGGCTCTCCCTCCAGACAGGCTGGAATACTTCTAGTTTAGTCAGGTGCCATTTTCGCTCTAATTGTCTAACAGTCAGTTTCAAAGCTCGAGTATGATCATTGTACCATGGGGCAGCTTTTTCTGCCTTATTATTTTACTATCTAGAGTAGATCGAAAAGTATCCTCTAAGCACTTGGTCATAGTATCTAATTTGGTAGGTTCAGAAGGACCAGCTAGCTAGCTAGCTAGCTAGATAGATAGATAGATAGATAGATAGATAGATCTTTCTGAGGGGATTGGAAAAAAGATAATCTGCTTTCACAAGGAAGGAGAAAGTCCAGGGTGAAAAAATGGAATAGAAACGGAATGGAAATGATTGTTACAGAGAAAATGTGTCTCCTAACAACCACCTGGAAGACCTGGTAGACACCAGAACTGCCCCCATCAGATAAACAGCACTTAAAGCTTTCATATTTGAGAGAGAGAAGAAAATCAAGCTGCTTCAGATCTGAAAACATCCACAGGTGACTCTGTTCTCCTCTTTTTTTGGATTTTTTTGGTATAGAAATGAAATGCTAAAGCCGCAAACTCAGAGATGTGAACAACAGCGTTCCAGATTCCATCACCAATGAAACAGAATGAAATAAAACCCCCAAAAATGAATTATTAACTGTTAATAACTAAAATATAAGTTAATTAAAAGTAGATTCCTTTCCTCATAAATATATTCGAGTGGCAGTAAAGTGCTCAGGAATGACAGTTCTAATAAACTACATGGAACTGAGTAAATGTTACTAGTTACTATCCTACTTTACAGTGTGAACAGAGATAACTGTAACCACGTAAGCGCGTCATTAAGCACTGTTACAGCGGAATAATCATAAGCAGGCTCAAGACATTCATCATCCATTGGAATAATGACATTAATGGCTGCTCCTGCAGTGCTGGGCTACTCTACACAGAAATAACATTAGCATATAGCATTAAGACATGATTAAACACAGGGACATCACTGACGCCCATAACGGCCCTTGAGCTGGGACGTGCTTGTTGAGCTGCAGTCTCTTTTCTAATGGAAATCAGCTTTCTCCATGGGTCACCCACCTCTTCTCCTCCGGCTGAAACGTCATTTACAGCTGAATCCAAACCCTGAGTGGCAAGAATTCACAGCAAGAATGAGCACAGATAGCGCTGAATGAATTATATTGTATAGTCTTACATTGTATTGTTGAATTGACACAAACAATCCTGAATTAAAACATATAAAACCACATAAAACTGAATTGGTGTTAAAGCTGAATTAAAGGTGCCATATCCTGGAAAGCTCTTTTGCTTTCCTGACTTTATAAGGTCCACGAAGCTTCAAAAGCAGCCCGTTTTTGTGAGGTCACAAAAAACAATGTTCCTTTATTCGCCTAATCAGCCTACAGCAGTTCAGCTCCATCCATTCATGCTAAAGTTATAAGGAGTGATGCAGTCCACACTGTCAAAATGAGGGACAATACAGGGTAGCCAATCAGAATAGAGCTCATTTACATTACGCAGTCTTAAAGATTCAATAAGAAAAATGACCTGTTTAATTGTAAGGGATAAACACACACACATCATCCAAGCCACTTATCCTTCTGGGTTGCGGGGGGGAGCTGGAGCCTTTCCCAGAAGTCATTGGGTGGAAGGCAGGATACACCCTGGACAGGTCACCGGTCCATTGCAGGGAAGGGATAAACAGATTTGGTGAAATGTTTATGTAAAAAGAATTGTTTTTGGTACATAAAGCCACACAAATGTTATAAGTGGACCTCAGAGGGAAAAATACATTTGTATACAAAAGTTTGGAAATTGCAAAACCAACTTCTAAGACTGAACTTTGGAGGTGTGGACAAATATCCCTGCAGACACACTAAATATTAAAAAAATCGAATTTGGTTGTTAACGCTTCGGTCATAAATCATAAAGTGGGGGTCCAAAAGTCTAAGACCACACTGAAATCTGTTTTTAAACCAGGCAAATAAACAACAGAAAGTTTAAGAAATTTGAATAATTTCAAACAAAGCAAAGTCGTGACAAGTAAAATGAAAAAGTATAGACACACTGAGGATTCTGTACTATTTGTAATCTTTATTTAAAACCCCTTAAATGGTCAGGGCCCACGGCAGGCCCAGTTTTATTACACACTTTTATGACCTAAGAACAGCTCAGCCAGCTCGAACGGGAGCTCCTGTAGCTACTAAATAAAGTGCCTTAGTACGTAATACGCCTGGGATTTTAACCTTTTTAACTCCTTGAGACCACCGGTGGTTCCAAAACACACTGTCATATTCTTCATAACTTTCATATTTCATAAGCTACATTCTAAAGGTATGAGAGCTGTAACTGTCTTCTTTCCAGTCAAATAGATGGGTGATGTAATTTTAAACCCTTATAATAAAAGAAGCTGAATTTACAGGTTTTTTTTTGTCTGCTGAAAGTCGACCCATTTTTCCACAAATCTGGGCTATAAACTATAAACAGGTGGCGTCTCTTCAGTGATCTGCTCTGTAAAAATTATTTTAATAAAATAATACAAAGAGCGTCCAAGATTTTTGGCTTTCAGCAGTAAATTGTAAGCGTATAGCAATATGTGTGATCATAAAACACATGTTCTGTTAATTTGAGGGGAACATTTAAAATAAATAAATAAATAAAATAAAAATTTACATTTATTTCATGCAGTTACTGAATAATTTGCCTTACGATTTGGGCATGTAAATTCAGATGGACAAACCAAAATACACCCTGGTCAATGGGTTGAACTTAGGGAATTTTGTGACCATGTTAAGGCCTTCAGACGACTCTGGCATGGATATGATCTGCTAGAGGCACAAAGTTGGGAAAATTAAATACCAAGAAATTCTGAAATTCATGTCTACTTCTTTTTTTCATTGTCATGCTTATAATTTCATTTGTGGTGAACCTGTTTGCCTTGAATTAGAAGGGAATGCAAAGTAGGAACATCTTCACTAGTGGTCTCCTACATTTGGACCCCACTGTCTGTTTTCTGAAGCTGAAAAATGAATACCTTGCACTTAACGGGCCGTTTTGCCTGGACATTTAAGAAGAAATG